AAGCACCTCAATATTTTATTCCATTTCTAGACCTTAATACCTTTAACTTAACTTAAAACTTATATACACTATGTCACTTTAAACTTTAGGCTCAAATACCACTTTATGATCTCAAGTTTAAATACTTCCATCAACGTCAACTTAATCGGGTCGCATCAAAATCCACAGACAGTTCACTTTAAACCTATTATATTGTCACTAGTCGCATAGGAAATCGAGTCCATAACTATACCACAAGGCAATTTATAAGCATCATATAAATAGAACTAATACACGTAGAATACGGGGCGTTACACTAGTCTCAAGCCAAAAATAGAAGATATTTTCTAGAAAATAATTTTCACACCAACAAAAATTTAAAAATATTTTCCAAAATATTTTTTTTCTACTCACCAACCAAATATGAGAAAATAAGTTAGAAATCGACTTATTTTACAAAAAAAAAATTCTAGAAAAACATTTTCGTTCGTACCATACCTTTATATTTCACATTGAAAGATATTATGAAAATAAGTGATTTACTTTGGTAGATAAGTTGCAATAGGCTGTGAGATTTTTAAACCTAGCTATAAATATTTTACACTCTTTCTACAGATGTTTTATCCAGACAAGATTGACTTGTGTAAACAAGTACAAAAATTGTTTAACAAAAGCTAAACGTTAACCAAGAACACTTATGCATGTTTATTTTTCTTTAAGCAGTTCCTAATAATGTTTGTGTTTTTTCGTTATTTTAGATGCTATTAGGGTTGTACATGACCGGGTTGGTTCGGGTTTTTCAAAATATCAAATCAAACTATTTGTGTCAAATTTATAAATTTATAAACCAAATCAAACTAATAAAACTCGAGTTTTTTTGAATTTGTTCGAGCTGGTTCGGATTTTCCAAATACCAAACTAAACCATTTGTGTCGAATTTTTAAAATTTTAAATTAAATCAAATAAATAAACTTCGGGTTTTGGATTTTTCCAGTAAAATATTCATACAAACATATGATTAACTTGTGCTCCAAATATTTTTTTAATCCAATCAAAATACAACTATCTAAGGTGTTTCTTAAGAAAATAATACAAAATATGAGATAAGTGATGACACTAAAATATTTAATAAAAAATGATAATGAAATCGTATAAAATAAATATTGCAAATTGACAAGTCATAATGAAAATGATCATTATTTAAAAGTACTAAATCATGCTAAAATAAGTCTAATAAGTATAAATTACATGATTAAACATTAAAGAAAATTAAAATTAGGTTATGTATTTTAAATGTCTAAACCAATGTAAAACTAAAGAACAAATATTCAATATTATTGTCATTCATAGTGTTGAATTAATTTATTTTGTTATCATTAGTATTGATTTTATTTTGAATTGAGCTTTATTAGAGTTACTAACATGACTATAACCTTTCTTGCACCATTCAAAATTCGAAGTCTAAAAAACTTTAAAAATATGTTAAAAGATAAAAATAATGAATACATATAAGTAATTTTTAGAAATTACATCAAAGTAAATACTTTTATGTATAAAATAAATTTTAAAAATTATATATTTAATGTCGGGTTGGTTTGGTTTAGGGTTGACTTTTTTTAGTTAAAACCAAACCGACCCAAGTAAAGTCAGATTTGTTTTCCAATACCAAACCAAGTCAAACAAAATCATTAGTCGAATTTTTTTTAATTTGTGATTTGGTTCGATTTTATACACCCCTAGATGCTATAACTCATTGAGACACGTAAATCTTTACCATTTTTTGTTGGTCACTATTATTATTTTTGTAAGCTAAAGATTACTTGTGAGAGTCTTTTTGACCCGGGGGCAGATCTACGTAATAGTGTGGAGGTGCCACAACACCCAGTGATTTAGATTGAAACTCTCTCTATATAGGTATATTTATCATAATTTATATAACATATGCCACCCACAGAAAAAGAAAAAAAAATTGTGTAGCAGAAAAAGAAAAAAAGTTGTGTAGTGTCGATGGCAAAGTGCAAATCATCAATTTTTTTCTTCCACGGTCATGGGTTCGAATCCGCGTTACGTGCCTTTTTATTGTTTTACATAAAATTGCTGAAGCCAAAACAAGACGCCTTTAAAAATGAAATGTTTTGAAATATCTTTGTTTTTCCTTCCAAAAGTGCTTTAAAAAATAAATACTTTTGATGATAATCAATTTTTGTTTGACCAATAAATTTTAAAAATATTTTTGAACCGCAATTAGTATTTGTGTCAATTTCTGTTTATAATGGTTCTTAATTTTTATCAACTATTCCACTTTTTGTTCAAATTCTCGGTAATAAAAAATGTATTTCTTTTTTTTATCAAGTGTTCTTTTTCAAGAATCTTTTTAATACTGAAAAATAGCTTTTGCTATTCGTTAAAAACAATTATTTTCTTTTAAGAACTTGGTCAAATACTTCAATTAATTTTTTTTAAAAAAAAATACTTTTAAGGCTAAACGGGCTACTAGAGTTCTTTTATATAAATATTGAAATTACACTATTGTTCATAAAATGTGGCACCCAGAATCTTAAAAACCTTGATCTGCCTTTGATCCCCGTGCCGAGCACGGACCATACCCTTCAGTATATATATATTGAAAAGGTTGATTGTATTACAACCATTGGATAGGTTTGGATGGCTTAAATTTAGGGTGAAGAAGAACAATCCTGTATATGTTTGCCTCTGTGGCACACATGGATTAGCTATTTTTGGGAAACTTGGATTGTTAGTTTTTTTAATTTAATTTTGCCTAATTTTGAATTGTAATTGTAGTCAATTTCTTTGGAAAATAGCCACAGATTATTGTTATAGCTCTCAATTAATTGTCTATTTTCCCACTCTACATAAATTATTGTTATAGCCCTTAATTAATTAAACCTAAGTCATTGATATTAATTTTAGACATGTGACAATTATTCAAAAAATAATTTGAAAAAATAAAAATAATAGTTAAATTCCTTTTCTATAAATATGATTCTTCTAACACTATAGGAATTGAAGAAGATTTAGAATATGGCTTCTAGTTATTTTGTTCACACTCTCATCTCTCTATTCATTACACCATTAGTTCTTATTGCATTCTTTGCCTTTTTCCCCTTCTTTTGCATCTTTAGGATCATCCTTTTTCTATGTAGGCTTGTGGTGAGTGAAAACATGAAAGGAAAAGTTGTTCTTATCACCGGCGCTTCATCAGGAATTGGAGAGGTTCCTTCCTCCTCTCCCCCTATCTTTTTTTTTCTTTCTTTACATGCATCGTATTTTACTTGCATAAGATATAAATATGTCTTTTAATTTGTTCTTAGATTATAGTTATGTCCTTCAATTTTGGGTGTGCTCTACATATACTATGTCACGTACGACTTGTATGTCTACTCTTGTTCAACTTTGTACAAGTTTAAGTGTCTACTTGTGCGCCCAAAGTTATAAAGCATAAATATGAAATGAGGTCATGTTAAATGATACTAATATGAAAGACGTTATTAAAAAGAAGACATGTACTCCCTCCGTCCACTTTTCTTTGTCATGTTGCGCTTTTTAAAAGTCAATTTGTCTAATTTTCAAAGTTAAATGAGATTACATTAATTCGATATTTAAAACAAAAAAATTAGATATTCAAAAACTATACAAAAAGTACTATAAATTGCAAATTTTCGTATATCAATATGATGAAAAAATGTATCGTAAAATGTTAGTCAAAGTTCTTATAGTTTGACTCTAAAAAAGGAAACCATGACAATTAAAAATGAACGGAGATAGTATTTATGTTCCAAAAAAAAAAGGTTTGAAATTATGATTTATATCCAAATAACAAATAATAGTATAAAAATGTTGTTTGGCTTTAGGCCCCCAAACTTATCGAGACGGTCTGGTAGTAATGATGTATATATAATATTGGTGGAATTTAATAGGAATTGGCTTATGAATATGCAAGAAGAGGTTGTTCATTAGCAATTGTGGCGAGAAGGGAGAAGAAGCTTTGGAAAGTAGCTGAGAAGGCAAAGAGTTTAGGGTGTCTAGATGTCATATCAATCAGAGCTGATGTATCCAACGTTCAACACTGCAAACGATTTGTAGATCAAACTGTGAAACACTTCGGCCGCTGTAAGCAAATATAGTGTAATTTTTATTTTATTTTTTATATTGTATACAATAGGGGTGTACATGGCCGGGTTGGTTCGAATTTTTTAAATATCAAATCAAACCATTTGTGTCGGATTTTTAAATTTATAAACCAAACCAAATCAATAAAACTCGGGTTTTTCCGGTTAATTCGGATTTTTCGGTTTTTCGGGTTTTTCCGGTAAAGTATTCATACAAACATATAATTTACTAGTACTTCAAATATTTCTTTAGTCCTACCAAAATACAATTATTTAAGATGTTTCTTAAAAATATAACACAATATGATATAATTAATGACACTAAAATATCCAACAAAAATAATAATAATAATAATAATGAAATCGCGTAAAACAAATATTGCAAATTAACAAGTTATAATGAAAATGATCATAATTTAAAATAACTAAATCATGCTAAAATTAAATTTAATAAGTATTAGTTACATGACTAAATATTAAAGGAAATTAAAATTAGATTATGTATTTTAATTGTCTAAACCAATGTAAAACTAAAGAACAAATATTCAATATTATTGTCATTCTTAGTGTTGAATTGATTTTCTTTTTGCATTAATATTAATTTGATTTTGATTTAAGCTTTATTATAATTACCAACATCTGTAGACTATAATCTTTATTGGCCCATTCATAATTCTAAGTTTCAAACTTGAAGAAATAGATTACTCCCTCCGTTTCACAAAGAGTGGCCTAGTTTTACTTGGCACGGAGTTTAAGAAAATAAAGAAGACTTTTGAATCTTGTGGCCCTAAATTAAAGTTATGTCAAATGCACAAAATTGCCCTTTAATCTTGTGGTCTTAAACATTGCCACGTGGAAAGTTGAAAGTAAAATGTTACCAAAAAGGAAAGGGGTCATTCTTTTTGAAACAGACTAAAAAGGAAAGGAGACCATTCTTTTTTTAACGGAGGGAGTAAAAGATAAAAACTATGAAAAAGTATAAGAAATATTTAAAAATTATATCAAAGTAAATATTTTTATGTATAAAATAAAATTTTAAAATTACATATATAATATCGGGTTGGTTTGGTCTCGGGTTGATTTTTTTAGTTAAAACCAAACCAACCCAAATATAGTCGGATTTTTTTTCCGGGTTGACTCAATTTACGGTTTGGTTCGATTTTGTACACCCCTACCCAAAAAAAGAGGTTAATTACATGCAGTGGATCATCTCGTCAACAATGCTGGAATCATATCTTTGTGCTCTATCAATGATGTGACGGACATTACCATGTTTACATCTCTTATGGTAATATTCACAAATATTTTTCAAAAATATTGACGAGAGTGGCTTAGAGGAGAGGGTGTAAAAAATGAAATTCTTTTAAATTTGAAATATTTTCCAAAAAAAAATTGACCGGGAGGGGGGAGTGCGTCAGGCTATGGGGTGGAGTAAAAAAATAAAATTTAAAATGTTTTCCAAATAATGTTGATTTGTACTTCCGAGAGGCAAACATCTTATATTTTGTCGATGTTTTGATTACTTTAAACTCTGAATCTTTGTTGTTGCTGTAGGATATCAACTTCTGGGGGTCTGTTTACCCAACATATGTTACAATTCCTCATCTTAAGAAGACAAGAGGGAAAGTGTTTGTCAATTCTTCATCTGGTGCAATTTTTCACCCACCGTCTATAAGTTTCTATACTGTAAGAATTTTATACCTAACTTATTTTCTGTTTAATTTATAGGGATAAGGCACAAGTACCCCCTTAGTCTATGACCGAAATTTCAGAGACACACCTTAACTAAATTAAGGTTCTATTACCCCTTAAACTCATTTGTTTTGTAGTTTTATACATCTTTTAACTTACGTGGCACATTCTCTGAATCCACGTAGTTGAGGCGCGTGAGAGATGTTTGAATTTCACGTAAGTCAAAAAAGTGTACAAAATTACAAAATAAAAAATAAAAAAATCAGGAGGGTAATAGGACCTTAGTTTAGTTAAGATTTGTTTATGAGATTTCGATCATATGCCTTGTTCCCTAATTTATATGATATATTTTAATTAATTATGGTTTTACAGGCGAGTAAAGCTGCACTAATAAGCTTTTATGAGACTATGAGAGTGGAATTGGCTCCGGAAATCTCAATTACTATTGCAACGCTAGGTTACACCGACTCTGAAATATTGGGAGGAAAACACTTGAAGGATGGTGTCATGCAAATTAACTCACAGCTATTTAGTGTAAGATCACCTTTAATTATGTTATCAACTTTCTAACAAATAACTAGAGGTGTCAAATGAACGAATTTGATTGAAATTAAAGATGTTAAAAATAGATTGAAATAGAATTCGGATTGGATTATGACACATCTAAATTTACTTTGATCTCAAATAAATTAAAATCAAATTGAATCATGACCCGCCCACAACAAACTATTTTTCATATTAATGTTCAACGCGGGATACACGATGCAGTTGAGTTTCATTCATAATTATTAACATGGCACAAAAACTTTTTTTATTTGTACACTTGCATGTATGTCCCTTAAAAAGTAATACTCCCTCCATCCTATTTTATATGATATTCGTTCATTTTTAGTCCTGAAGAATGTCACTCTATTGTAATTAGAAATAATTTAACTTTAAAATTTCTATTTTACTCTTAAATAAATAATTTATCACGACACAAATATCTAAGACGATTATATTAGACAACAAGTTTAAAAAATCTTCCTTTTTTATTTCTTAAATACCATGTCAAAACAAACGATGTCACATAAAATGAGACGAAGTAGTCGATATTATATCTATTTATAATACTCATATAATTAATTAAGTTCCTTGTTTATTTATGTTTGCAGGATGCTACTGTTCTTCCAGTTATCAGTTGTAGTGACTGTGCAAAATCAATTATCAGTGCAATATGTCGAAAAGAACGATATATTACAGAGCCAAAATATATTAGCGTGCTCTTCTTCGTTAAAAGTGTATGCCCTCAAGCGTTTGAATGGATCTATCGCACCTTTGCGCACAAGCTCTGTATCGGCCATGCTTCATCAATCAAGATAGCTTAGAATATGATCGAAATTTCAGAGACACATTTTAATTAAACTAAGGTCCTATTACCCTTGAATTAGGGCTGGGCATAAATACCAAAAACCCGAAATACCGAACCGAACCGAATTTTTTTGGTATTTCAGTTTCGGCATTTCGGTTTTCGGTTCGGTTTTTGTATTTTCGGTATGTATTTTTATATATTTTGGTATTTCGGTTAAACCGAAATATATTATATTATAATATATATTAATTATTAATAATAAATATTATAGCAAAATGCAAAATTAGATTTGGTTTTTCACTTTTCATTTTTACACTCTTCTACTTTTCAGCTTTTCAAAATAAGCCAGTAGGCACCAGTGATGATCGCTCACCATTCTTTGATTTTTTTTGTTGGACCAGCGACAGCTGCCGACCAGCGGCCACCGGGATCTCTCACTATTCTTTAATTTCTTTTTGTTGGACCAGCCGCTGCCGACCAGCGGCCACCGCGAACAGCAGCAACTGATCAGTGACCAGCGGCAGCCCACCAGTCAGCGTCTCAACAATCAGTGATTTCTCATTTCAGCGACCAGCGGCAGCGAGCTGACCGGTGACCAGCCTCCAAGTATTTGATTATTTTAACAAAAATTTGAATAACAAAAGTCGAACCGAACTAACAAAAAACTGAACCGAACCGAATTATTTCGGTTCGGTGTTCGGTACACCTATTGCAAGAACCGAAAACCGAAAAAACCAAAAAAAAAAATCGAAATCGAACCGAATTACCGAATTCCCACCCCTACCTTGAACCCATTTTTTTTGTAATTTTGTACACCTTATTGGCTTACGTGGCACATTTCCTGATTCCACGCAATTTTTTTTATATATATATATATATTAGGTTACTAATTATTGTGATTTATATTTTATTTTTTACATAATTTTCACATAATATATATTACTCCATTTGTGTTGATTTATGTGATACAAATGAATTTCAAAATTCAATCAAATTTTTTTTATAAATTCTTTTGATATTTAAATTATTAATTATTGTGATTTACAATATATTTTATGTATTCTATATAATATCTCTCTATCTCAATTTATGTGGTATTGATGAAATTTTCAGAGATAACGAAAACTTTTATCATATTTTCAAATATTTTAAGTTATTAATTATTATGATTTATAATCCTTTTTGCAGAATTTTTTTATATATATTAAGTGATGAAAGATAAGATTTTAAAAAAGAAAACAACAAAATTACCAAACTATCCCTAGCTACAAGCAGGCATGTTGATTGTTATGAATGGGCCTAGACCAGTATTGACAAAGCAACCCAAATCTGAATTAAGTGGCTATGTGTGAGATTCGGGTTGATAAATAGAGACTTGAGAGAGCAAAATAGGTTATGCAAATTGTTGAGAAAAATGTTTAGCCCTCTCATCCTCTTTCTTTGAGTTCTACTTCTCATGCCTTTCTTTTACTTGTGTTCTTCAATTTCCATTTAGTTCTTAAATTCCTTTGTAATTTCAATTAGGAGTTAATAAAATAGATTTATCGATTGTTTGAGTTTGAATTGTGTTGGCCTTATTATTGGGTTTGTTACATTGGTGTTTTCATTGCTCGTCCTCCATGGCTGACGGCTACCTCAAATTTTCTTGCCATACCCCATCTGCAATTGTGTTGGATCGCTTCAATGGTGTTTCCGACCCAACCGTATGGGTTTATCAGGCAGAACGTTATTTTAATTTTTATGGCTTTTCTAAGGATATGTGGCTATCTCTTCCTTACCTTTATTTTGACGGAGAAGCCCTCGCTTGGTTTAATTGGTTGTATCGCAATAAGCAATTCTATGATTGGAAGCATTCATTGATAAATTGGCTTGCCATTACCGCAAACAAATTGTTACAGAACTTGGACTGCCGCCCGTTGCTGATCTATTGCTACAATTAGATGCGAATTTCTCTCGTATAACATTCAGAATACTCTATTGGCTCGTTACCACAAGTTCTCTAACGCTCAAGCACGTCCAGATTTAACCGCATCTTCGGCTGATAAGTGTGTCATAGAGGAGGTCGTCCAACAAAGACAACTTAAACACTCCAGAGAATTCTGAGGTCTCTCATCCGATGTTAGAACTTCATGTGGCCAATTCGAAGGTTCCTTTTCCTTCCTTGGCGATCTCATTTGGTTGCATTGAGACTTTGGGTCCCATGTTGGACTCCAAATATGACTTGAAGAACGACCCAAGCAGCTATGCCTGCAAGGTGTTCGCTGAAATGCCCGATAAGAAAATTGACATGGAAGTCAAACATCCAGTGATAATTGATTCAACAAATCTGGCATCCCATATGTTTAATGAAAATTTTCAAACGGTTTCTGCATTTAAGGGAGAGTACGGTGACCTTATCATGTTTGATAATAATTGTCTTGCACTACCTTGTTTGCCTTCGATTTTTAGTTGCACCCAACTTATGGGAAGATCTATATTTGATTACTTCAAGGAATTCGGTCATGCTAACCTCCCATTATCGTTGTATCGATTTCCACCTGATCATTTCGGGTTCAGCTTTTCGTTTGATCCTGGTTCTAGTTTGCTCCCCGTAATTTTTGGCGCTGCAAACTAATATTCGCGCATAATTATGGATGATTTCAAGGAGCTCATTAGGATATTCACATGTCATATGAACTCCACTTCCAATGCTCACTGTATTTTGCCTCAATTCCTATTTGATCCTGGTGCGAATCTATTCATTATATGCCCTGGTGGGTGCTTACAAGTTTTTACATTGCAACCTGAGGCATCTAATTGGGATCTAGCAATATGTTCCATGTCCATGGCTCTAATAGAGTTGACAGCAAAGGCGAGTGTATTTCCTTAGAGAAAGACACTCTTTGTTTTGCTCGTTACAATGTCCAGGTATTATGATGATGATTTTTGGACACCATTTGATAGTACAGATACATTGCCGCTGCAACGCCTTATATCACTAAGGTTTTGCCCAATGCGCGGGGCAAATGCAATTTCATCCTGTTTTTTAGTCTCTAGAGTGATCATGTCAAAAGAGAAACTTGATAATTGTGGACAACTCTGTTTCAGTTTGTTGCTCTTGATTGTGGTAAAAAAAGTCTTTCAACAGCAACTCGACTTCAAAGTGCTTACAACGTGTTCGCCTGAGATGGTTGAATTTATTCAATTTGAATTGCTTAATGAATTATTAGATTAGATATTTTAGAAATCCAACCAGTGACTTCTTTAATGATGCACTAGTCATTGCTCTATATCATGATATTCTAGATGTTGCTGGCCAAATTCACAGAGAAGGAAGTGCACAAATCCATCATGGGACGAACATCCTGGACTGCATTTGGAATCTGTCCAAATTGGTGGTTTCGATTAATGACACTAAGAATGTGGATACACCATTGGTGTCTCAAAATAAGGAGGTCAATTCAAGAAATTGTGTAGCTTGGGTCATTGACATGTCTCTTCATAGGGATACAACTAGCTCTCTGATTCCTTTAGCTAACAAGGAATGCATAGTAACAAAGGGTTATATTGCACCAAAAGGTCATACGAAGGTGCTAATGAGTGTTATATCACATATCTACAATGTTGAGATTATGTTTTTTGAGTCACTTTATCTCCTAAAAGCAAAAGGTTGGAGTCGCCCTGTGATAATTTGGAGTAATGTACTGCTCATCGGTAAAGTTGTAAGAGTACTGCCTACACCTGCTTCTAACTTGCTGATGTTAGTATGTATAGCTTCCTTAATAGCTCCAATGAGAATCCTCACAATGATATCAATTTGGTACTACTTGAACCTTGAGGACAAAGGGGCAGAAGGTATTGTTATGAATGGGCCTAGACCAGTATTGACAAAGCAGCCCAAATCCAAATTAATTAAGTGGCTATGTATGGGATTCGGGTTGATAAATAGAGACTTGGGAGAGCAAAATAGGTTTATGCAAATTGTTGAGAAAAATGTCTAGCCGTCTCATCCCCTTTCTTTGAGTTCTACTTCTCATCCCTTTCTTTTACTTGTGTTCTTCAATTTCTATTTAGTTCTTAAATTCCTTTTAATTCTAATTACTAGTTAATGAAATAGATTTATCGATTGTTTGAGTTTGAATTGTGTTGGTCTTATTATCGGGTTGTTACATTGACGAAGTCATGCCTGCTCATAGCCTCTTCTACTAAGTAGTAATAAAGTTAAATTATTACTCCTACTATTCCCTAACTTTCTAGAAATATATAAATGGAAGGGAATTTTTATGAAGTTAGAACTTAGAACTATCATTAATTGTATAAAGAAATTATTTTGTTGACTTTATAATATGGGATCCAGATCCACCACGTTCACCTTTTTTAATTCTTCTCTTTTTTATATTTTTCCTTTTGTATAATACACGGTTCATTTGAGTTAAAAAGAAAGTTATATAATTTTGACACATAATCTTGACTTTTCTTTTATTTCAATTAATCTTACTAGGCTTCTTAGTCTTGAGTAATTTACTAAAATAAATTCTTATATTTTTATTATTAATTTCGCTAAATTCAGGGGGAAAAATACACAAAATGAAGAACAACAATCTAATTTATAATATCTACATTTTAATTACTAAGAAACTAGTATTCGTATAAAATTAAAAAAATAAAACAAAGATACTAAAATAGCAAGAAAAAAATATGATATAAAAAGAAAATAAAGAAAGACGTCAGAAAAGGAAACTGATCTTTTCAACGACAATTACTCACGTTTTTTAAAGGTTAATAGTATAGAGAGTATGTTTGGCATTATTGTTAAAAAATGCTTATTTTTAAAAATAGCTTTTTAAAATAGCTTTTCAGAAAAGTATTTTTCAAAAAGAACAATTTGTGTTTGTTAAATTCATTTGAAAAGTATTTTTTTAATAAACAACTTGTGTTTGGCTAATTTTTAAAAAAAAATGACTTTTGAGAGTCAAATTACGAAAAATGGCAAAGTATCAATGGACTTTTAATAATAAGATTATTTTATAGAGAGAAACTATTTTAAACATCTAATCAGAAACTTTAATTATAATTTTAATTTAATTAATTAAAATTTACATATTCAAATTTTCAATCAATATTATTCATAGAAAAATATTGTTGAAAATATTGAAAAGAGAATTTTTTTTTTTTCTACCTATTTTTTTGGATTCATTCTTAGCTATTATCTTTTTTATATATATAATACTCTAAAGTTTTTTAAAAAAAATAAATAATACGTAAATTCAGAAAATAATTTTTTTTATTTTACTTTTTTGGGAGGGTCTAGATCTTAAATTGTTACTTTTCTCTATTTTTTTTAATCCTGCAAAAATATTATTGTTATTTTTATTTCTAATTCTGTAGAATAATACATAAAATAATATATACAATATAAAATATAAATAATAATATAATAACATAAAAAAAAATTATTATATAAAAAAAGTTCTTGAATAAAAATCAACCAAACTTATGAGATATGTTAATTAATTAATAAGTGATATATTGATAAATATGTATATATGCAAGGGATATTTTAGTCTTAAAAAAA